GTAGGGAATGAGATAATTGTCTTTCTATGTTTTCACATAGGAAAACAGCAAATTATTACATAAACAGTGGATTAAATAAAGAATGTTTTTCCCACTGATTAGAAATATTACTTTAGTTGTATATTAAGTTCCTATATAGTCTTGAATATGTTTTTGGACTTTATTGGGTGTTATAACTGTGTTAATACCTCACTGGTTTAAATTTTCAGGTTTTGAGTGTTTTTTTCTCTTCTTAAAATATAACTGACATATAACATTATGTTAGTTTCGAGTGTACAACATAATGACCCGATATTTGTATACATTGCAAATTGATCATCACAATAAGTCTAGTTAATATCTGTTATCACGGATAGTTACAAATTTTTTTCTTGTGATGAGAACTTTTAAGATCTACTCTCTTAGCAACTTACAAATATACAATACAATATTATTAACCATCGTCACAATATTGTACCTTACCGTTTTGGTTATAGTATGGATTTATTCTAAAATTAATTTAGAATAATTTTTAAACTCCAAAGTACTATGTTTTCTGCTCAGATTTTTTTGACTTCTTGGAACTTTTATACTCCCAAATAAACTTTAAAACATTTTTATTCAATTAAAAAACAAAGGTATTTTGGTTGGAAAGACATTATATATTAATTTGGTAGGGATTGTCATTTTTAGAATGGAAGTCTTTCCATAGAAGAATTCAGTGTATCTTCCATTTATTCAAATCAATTGTACAGTTTTCATGCCAGCCCCCCACAGGACAAGTTCCTTTCTTTTACATTTTTCCAATCTATTTTTATAGATTTTTGCCGCTGTTAGAATATTTTCTGTTTTCATTTCTAACTTGTGATCATTAATATAAAGAATTTTATCACAGCCACTTTACCATGTTTCTTCTTTATCAACTGTTGAGAAAAATGCAATAAAATGTCTCACTAGATTCATATTTGTCAATTTCTCTATGAAATTCTGTCAACTTTTTCTCTATACATTTTTACAGTATGTCATAGGCACGTAATAGTTTAGAATCGCCATCTTTTTCTGTACCAATAGCACATCGTTCTACTCTAATTTTATAATAACTTGACATCTGGCAGGTTTCATTGCCCAAATTCTTCCACTTTTTTTTTTTTTTAATTCAGGAATGTCATGGACCTTGATTCTTCCATATAAATTTAGAATCAGTTTATCAAGGTCTTAAAAAACACTTCACTTCCCTTTTTCAAAACTTATTAAAAATCTCCAGTAATCGGTAGAGTATTTGCATAACGACAGACATACAGATCAATGGAACAGAACTGAGAGCCCAGAAATATATCCTTACATTTATGATCAGTTGCTTTTTGACAAGAGTAAAAAGACAACTGAACAGGAAAAGAATAGTCATTTCAACAAATGGATATTCACCTGCAAAAGGATGAAGTGGGATCCCTTCCTTAGAACATACACTAAAATTAACTCGAAATACACCAGAGACCTGAATATAAAAGTGGAAACTATAAAATTCTTAGAATAATATATAGGAGAAAGTCTTTGTGACCTTGAATTATACAAAGCTTTCTTAAAATATGGTACCAAAAGGACATGTGACAAAAGAAAAAATCAACTGGACTTCATCAAGATTAAAAACTTTTGCATTTGAAAGGATACCATCAAGAAAGTGAAAAGACAGAAGAGAAAATATTTGCAAATCATATATGTAATAAAGGGTTCGTATCTATAATATATTTAATGACCTCTTCAAACTCAACAATTAAAAGATAAGTAAGTCAATTAAAAATAGATGAGGAATCTGAATAGATATTTCTCCAAAGAAATTATACAAATGGCCAATAAGCACAGGAAAAGATGCTAAAAATCATTAGCTATTAGGAAAATGCAGATAATAACAAATGTTGGTGAGGATGCAGAGAAAATGAAATAGTGCAACTCTTCTGAAAAACCGTCTGACAGTTTATCAAAATGTTAAACAAACAGTGACTATATGATCCAGGAATTATAGTATGAGGTATATACACAAGAGAAACAAAAGCCTATGTCCACACAAAAGTGGAAACAACCCATGTGTCCATCAACTGATAAATAAAATGTGATATATCCATACAATGAAATATTATTCAGCAATAAAATGTAATGAGTCCTGATACATGATACAACATGATGTATCCTGAAACATTATGTTAAATGAAAGAAGCCAGTCACAAAAGACAACATATTATATGAATAAATTTATATGAAATGTCCAGAATAGGTAAATCTATAGACAGAAAGTAGATTAATGGTTTCTTAGGGCTGAAAGGGGTGGCAGTTTGGGAATGGGGAATAGATGCTAATGATTATAAAATTTATATTTGCAGTGACGAAATGTTCTAATATTAGGTCATGTAATGGCCACAATGTTGTGTGAATACACTGAAAACCACTGAATTGTACATATTGAATGGGTACATTTTATGATATATGAATAAAATCCTAATAAAGCTATTTTAAACAAAACTTGATGGTATTCGTACTAAAACTGCATTTAATTTGTAGCTCAATTTAGGAAGAATTATTATCTGTATAATAATGACTCTGTGGATCTCAAATTATGGCTACTGTAAAGAATACAGATGTAATCAGCCACAGTGGAATAATAATAATGTATTTAGTAAAAGTTGGATGTTGAGAAAAGGTGAGTAGTCATCTAATTATGTTGATGCTTTCATCTAAAAGCAGGGTAGATTAAAAATAAAAATAATTATTTAAAATCAAAAGTGAAATTATTTACATAAAAACATAACTATACAAGTAACACAGAGAAGAACTACTAATAGACTACTAATCTTCCAAATTATTGGAAGGAACGCACAAACAAATCAAAGAAAAAAACCCACAAGCTGGATGACTTAAACATAATCATTATAATAAACAAGTAACAATAACAGGCTCAAACATATGTTATAATCAAAAAATGAAAATGAAGTAAACTTGCCTATAGAAAGAAAAATCTTTAATACCAACTACATCGTGTATATGTGAGATGTTTCTTAAATTACTTAGATTGTAGGACAGTAAGTAAAAGCATACCAGGTGGGCAAAAGAATGAAAAAGGAAAAACAAAGCAGAAATGGTAATTAGGGCAAAAAACATTAAATGAGATAAACAGTAGGATTTTATAATGAGAGAGGAAACAATCTGAAATGAAGATCTAGCAGTCATGAGTATTTACAAAACAGCATAAATTAAGAGCAATAATAAATACAAAAAAGAAAATGATAGAAATATTCATAGAAGACTAATTCATTTCTCTTAGTAATGGTAGATGAAATAAATAAAAATAATTAAGGATACAAAAGAGCTAAATAATTTGATAAGGTAGATCTAATTAATTCATCGATATCTACATCTTTTACTAGACCCTGAAAGCAAAGAATGATGTTCTTTTCATGGGCCCACAGAAAGTACTAAAAATTCACCGTATATTAGGTTATAAAGTAAATCTTAAAATATTCTAAAAATAAGAGAAACATTAGAGACAATTTCTCTAATCACAGAGCAATAGAACTATAACTTAATAATAAAGCCAATAACAACATAAAGATACTGCCATTTGAATATTTTTAAAAAATCTTTCTTAAACAATTCTTGCATCAAAGAGGAAATCAAACATAAATTGCAGAATGGCTATAAAATGAATTCTAAAAAAGGACATTAAAGCAGAGGGCCTGGCTCTTCTGGATAGTAAAACCTACTTTAAAGCAATATTAATTCAAATTGTGTCATTTTCCTTTTTAAATGGAGAAGCAGAATAAAGAGGGTAGAAAGATGTATATACATACGTATTAGTGGGAAAGAGATGAATTATTTAATTATGTCAAGACGATTTTCTATCTCAGAAAAATTAAGTTAATAATTTATACAAAAATAAATTAGACATATCACATTAAAGATGTAAGAGGGTTTACTATAATGTTTGTTGTTAAACAAACTTCGGTATAACAGAATAATCTTAGACTAGGGAAAGGTGTGACTGAAGAGTTAGAGTCTATAAAAGAATATATTGAGAAGCTTATTTTCATGGATTGTGGAAAGTACAGAAAGATGACAAATAAATAATTACTTTTTTTTTTTTAGTTTTCCAAAGATTTATTGAAGCAGAAATATATTGGTCAGATACTTGCTGGAAAAAAGCAGTTTGAATGATATTTAAAAATATTTTTTAAAAAGTATTCTAGCACAAGTCTTCATAAACTAGATTATGCTTTACTCATCAATACAATAGCAACAATACAAAAAGTTTTATTTCCTTAGGATAAATTATTAGAAGTAGATTTCTAAATCATAAGAAATGTCTAGTTAAAAAGCTTAGTATGTATTCCCAAAATTATTCCCAGATACATATGAACTTCTATTTCACAACTTTGTAATTATGAAATACTATTTTTCTATTAAAAAATTCTTGCTAATCTGTTTGGTTCAAAATATCTTCTTTTTGTTAATATATCTTAGCTGATGAGATGTACTGGTAATCTCTACTTATTTATTACTAATGAGAATACAGTTTTTCAAATTAGTTTTTGCTATTTACATTTATTCTTTGATGAATTTCATATCAAATAATTTATTCACTTTTCCATTAAAGTATTTTTGTATTTCATTCATTTGCAAGGTATATTGATGATGCCTGAATCAGTACATCATCCTCTACTTATACTTAATCTACTTCGCATTCCTTTAAAAGCGCTCTATTGTTTATTGACCACTTTAAAACATAATGCCTATTTTGTTTTTTATAGCTAATAATTTTTTTCATTTTTAACTGATCATAATAATTTTAAATTTACTTTTACGCTAGTAAGTACCTAATGATACCTAATGATGCTTTAATATCAGTCTTTATATAAACAATGAAATAATCCACAGTAGCCAAATAAAAACACTCATTCCATACTAAACTTACATTAGATAAATCTGAGATTCTTGACTTTAGTCCGAGATCATTGTCTTTCTTCGAATTCCCTGTAGTGTTAAAATGTACGTAATTTCGAATTGTTGATGATAACAATCCATCAGTCCATTTCATAGTATTAGGATCCAACTGTCCATATAGTTCACTAAGTGTGATACACTTTGGATTCAAAACACATATATCTACTCTTCCTTTTCTTCCTAGAATCTGAGAAAAATCCAATGTTGTTTTAAAAGACATTACTATGGTACAATTATTTAATTTTTCGCATTGCTATTACCAAAGGGTTTTAGGAAAGGTCTTTCACTCCAAAGCAAGATTCTGTATAAAGGTAGCAATTTACAAGGAACATAAAAATTGACATATAAAAATTAGCCATAATATTCAAATCATTATTTTAAAAGATTCTAGATATTACAAATAACGTCCCTAGAAAAATAATGAAAATAATTCCATTGTGCCTCATCCAGGAATACAGTATATGAACCGGGTTGTGCTGTGTCTGGAACCAAGGTTAGATACAGAAGTAAGGGAGAGTAGAATATAATTTTAACCTTCAGGTCAGAACTGGCACTCAAGTAGACCTTATTTACAACATTCTAACCTGTCTGGGGCTGGCTGAACAACTGGAATCCATTCCACCTATCTTGGACCTCAGGTAGGAAAAGTGACAGGTACTTCTTGTAAAAATTGCAAGAAGATTGTAGACCCACAGAAGCCTAAGAGAAGAGATTATGGACGGAGACATATGATAGACTAGACTATCTAAGGCTCTAGGGAGAAAGCAAGGTAGAAATCTTTGGGAAATTAAGACATTCACAAGCAGCTCTATATTCTGAGGGACTGTAAAAGCCACATGCAGGATGAATGCACAGAGAAGATCTGAGAAGACCCTAAACTTTCATCTCAGACTGGTCCTTAGGTTCAGAGTAGGCCCAGCTAATCAGTGAAGAACTAATTACTCCAGGACAGAGTAAGTTTGTAAAAACTGAGAAAGGTGGCTGTTTTTACAAATGCCCAATTTTCAACAAATAATCGTGAGGCACACAAACAAACGTGAAAATATGGTCCATTCGAAGGAACAAAATAAGTTGAGAGAATCCATTCTTGAGAAAGCTCAGGCATTAGACATCCTAAACTAAGTCTTTAATGTAAACTGTCTTAAATATGCTCAAAGAGATGAAGGAAACCATGGCCAAAGAGCTAAATGAAATGAGAAAAACAAAAATGAGAACAAGTAGGGAACATAAATAAAGAGAAATTATAAAAAGGAACCAAATAGAAATTGTGGAGCTGAAAATACAACACCTGAGATAAAAAATTCAACAGAGGTATGCTACAGTAAATTTTAGCAGACAAAAAAAAAAAAAAATCAGTAATTTGAAGATAGGGCTATTGAAATTACCCAGTCTGAGGAGCAGGTATAAGATAACTCTCAATAAATTTTAAAGTATTGAAATCATACAAAATGCCTTCTTCAATAACAATGAAAATCAAGAAAGAGGAAAAATCGAAATATTTGCAAATGATGGAAATTAAACAATACACTATTAAACAACCAATGGGTCAAAAATAAACAGTTATTTATTTATTTTAATAAATAGAATCGAGATGAATGAAAATGAAAACACAACCTATCAAAACTAACGTGATGCAGTGAAAGTAGCACAAAGAGGAAAAATTACAACCGTAAACACCAACATTAAAAGAGAGGAAAGATCTCAAGTCAACAATTTAATTTTATTCTATAAGAAACGAGAAATAAAAGAGCAAACTAAACTCGAAGAGAGCAAAAGGAAAGAAATAATAATTAGAGAAGAGACAAACAAAATAGTAAGTAGAAAGACAATGGAGAAAACCAATGATCCGAAATATTGGTTGTTTGAAAAGATGAACAAAATCAGTGAACTTAGACAGATTAAAAAAAAAAAAAAAACAGAAAAGACACAAATAAATCATACCAGAAATAAACGCATGGACATTACTAATGCTGTACAGAATTTAAAAGGAATTTAAAAGAATACATGAATTAGTGTGTTCTAACAAATTATATAATTTAGATGAAACAAATTCCTAGAAACACCAAAATTGCCCAAACTGGTAATTTCTTTGTTTCTTCAGACTCAAGGAATAGAGAATCTCAATGGATCTATAACAAGTAGAGATTGAATTAGTAATTAAAAACTTCCAACAAAAAATGTCCAAATCCAGATGGAAGATGAATTCTACCAAATATTTAAATAAGAATTAACAGCAATCCTTTTTGAACTCCTGAAAAAAAACGGAAAAGGAGGGAACATTTTCTAACATTCTATGAGGCCAACACTACCCAGAAAGATACACAAGAAAACTACAGATCAATATTCCTTAAGAATGTAGATAAAAATTCTCTAAAAAGTGCTAGCAAACTGAATCCAACAGCACATTAAAAAAACTATACAAGATGACCAAATGAGATTTATCTCAGGAATGCAAGAGTGGTTTAACATAAGAAAATCAATCAGCGTAATATACCACATTAATAAAACAAAAGAAATAAACCATATGACCATATTGAGAGAGGCAGAAAAAGAATTTGATAAAACTTCACATCCTTTCATGATAAAAACACTCAGCAAATAGGAATAGAAGGGAACTTCATTAACATAATAAAGGGTATTTATGAAAAACTTACAGCTAACATAGTCAATGGAGAAAGACTGAAAGCTCTCCCCCTAAAATCAGGAATGAGGCAAGAAGTTTCTATACAGTAACAATCCAGAAAGGAGATTAAGAAGGCAATTCAGTTTATAATAGCATCCCCAAAATAAAATGCTTAGACATAAATTTAACTAAGTAGGAGAAAATAAAAGATCGAAAAATGGAAAGACATCCCATGTTCGAGACTTGGAAAACTTAATATTGTTAAGATGGTAATACTTCCTGACATGAACCACAGATTTAATGTAATCCCTATCAATATCTCAATGGCCTGTTTTGCACAAATGGAAAGCTGATCCTCAAATTCACATGGAATGCAAGGGGCCTCAAATAGCCAAATAATATTCAAAAAGAAAAACAAAGTTGGAGGACTCGCACGCCCAATTTCAAAACCTACTATAAAACTATAACAATCAAGTTTCATGTGTCCTGGATACACATTTAGAAAAATGGAATAGAACTGAGAGTCCAGAAATAAACACGAACATCTGTGGCCAATTGATTTTCAACAAGAATGACAAAACCATTCCCTGGGGGAAAAAGTAATAGTCTCTTAACAAATGGTGCCGGGACAACTAAACAGCCACATGTAAAAGAATGAAGATGGACCCCTAATTTACTCCATATACAAAAATATAACTCAAAATGGATGAATGGCGTAAATATAAAATCTATACAACTATTAGAAGAAAACATTGGGGTAAATCTTTATGATCTTAAATTTCTCAATGGATTCTTAGATTTAACACCAAAAGCATAATAACAAAAGAAAAAGTAAATAAACTGGACTTCAAAAAAATGAACAACCTTGATGCATCAAAGGACATTATCAAGAAAGTAAAAAGACAACTCACGGAATAGGAGAAAATACTTGCAAATCATATATCTAACAAGGGTTTTATATCCAGAATGGATACAAAAAAAACTCTTCCAACTCTACAACAAAAAGACAAACAATCCAGTTTAAATATGGACAAAAGATGTGAATAGATATTTCTCCAAAGAAGATATACACATGAATGTCCAATAAACACACGAAAAGGTATTAGCATCCATCAGTCATTAAGGAAATGCAAATAAAAACCACTATGAAATACCACTCACACTTACTAGAATAGAAAAAACAAGTAAGTGTCGGTGAGTATGAGGAGAAATAGGAAGCCTCATACATTGCTCGTGGTAATTTAAAATGGTGCAGCTGCTGTGGAGAAGAGTTTGGTGCTTCCTCATAAAGTTACACATAGAATTACCACATGACCTAGCAATTCCACTCCTAGGTATATATCCAAGAGAAAAGAAAACATACGTCTGCACAAAACCTTGTAAACAAATGTGTATAGTGAGTGGCATTATTCATAATATCTAAAAGGTGGGAACAACCCAAATATCCATCAAGGGATAAACAGATAAACAAATTGTGATGAATGGATAAATATTCCATATAATGAAATATTATTCAGCAATAAAATGAAATGCTATAACTGGAATAAATCTCAAAAGCATATGCTAAGTGAAAGCAGCCAGATATAAGATGTCACATATTGTATAATTCCTTTTACGTGAAATATCCTAGATAGGCGAATCCACAGAGACAAAAAGCCACTCGGTAGTTTCCAGAAAATGAAGAGATCAGGTAATAGGGAATGACTTCTTGGTGGGTAGGGGATGATTGCACAACATTACGAAGGTACTGTCGCCGATGTGTACACCTTAAACTGGTTAATGATATGATATGTGAATTTCACCTGTCAGTACGTGGCAAAATTATTCCCTACCACAATCCAATCCCATTTCTAGGTAGACATTTTTAAAGGATAGACACACATATATAAGGGCATCTAGTAAAAACACCCAGAGAGGGGTCCTATGATAGGAGGAAAAGGAAGTGATGATTAGGAGATAAACTAAATTGAACTAAACTAAAACAGAGAAGGTCTCGAATAGACAAGTTAAAAAAAAGTCGTGAACTAAAGAAGATCAAAACAAGTTTATTATCGAAGGTCCTGCCACCAGCCTAGACGCTTTTCTTATAATTATGTTTTTTAAAAAACCCTAACTTTAAAATTATTAAACATGAGAGAATCATTAAATAAATTATAGTATAGTTATACATGTAGAGTGCAGTCATTGGAATGATATTGTGAGAAGTTTTTAATGACGTGGGGTTAACTCTCAGCATGTAATATCAGGTGAAAATGCTAGCATTAGGAAAATTGAGATCATTTATACACAGTACTACCTCGATTATTTCCAGGTATATATAGTGTAGGAAAAATAATCAATACAGCAATATATTTAGTTATTCTAAGTGATTATAGTTTTTTACATTTTCACATTTTCCAAGTTTCTCATAATTATACATACTTCTTTTGTAACTTTAAAAAACTTCTTTTAATAAAACAAATTTCTGCCCACAGGGCTGTTTTTAGGTTTAACTGAGGTAATTCAAGTAAAAGTGCTTTAGCCCGTATTTGGCCCATATTTAGTACAACATAAATATTAGTTATTAATATTATTGCTGTGATAATTCATCTCTATTAATTCTATTTGCTTAAGAAGTAATTAAGATCTGTTGATAAGGAGAATTTAGAAAACAATAGAGGATTATGTACTGCCACACAAATGATTTGAAGCACGATATTGCACGCTAACTGAAAAGAAGTCCACATCACTTGGAACCTGACTTTCTAAGACTTTTGGAATGAAAATATTGCCATCAATGAATCTTTAAATAAGATAGCTGAAGTACATACTATGTATTGAAGCCTAACTTCATACTGAATGAAAATATATCATGAAGAAGTAAGATTTATTCTAGGAATTCAAGGACAATTTTACACAGGAAATCTATCGACATAGGTTAGCACCTTAACCAATTAAAACATAAAAAATATATGCCAAAAATAATTTCATAAATTCTAGAAATCAAAAATCAAAGTATAATAAGAATAAAAGGAAATTTCCAACATATGATAAAAAATACTTATCAGAGACCAAAAGCAAACATCATATTCAATGCTGAAATATTAATTGCATTCCAGATAAGGTAAGAAACAAGATGTTACAGTGAACATTGTCTTGGAGGGTTAATCAGTGCAATCAGAATATAAGTTATATAAATATTAGAAAAGGGACAAAATTATATTAATTTGAAAATGATTCAAGTGATTAACCAGTCCATTAAATGGAGGTGACTAAATGCAAAATAAACACACAAGTCAATAGTTTTAGTTTACACTAGCGATTACCAGTTTGAGGTTTAAATAATAATAAAAAAAAAATCTTATTCACGACAACGATTCCTAACTCCAAAATTCCTAGCAATAAATTTAATAAGTAAAGAACACACTTATATAAAGAGAACATAAAATGTAACTTAAGTATAAAATAAGATCTCAACCAATGGAGGAACATTTCATTGAGGGGAACATTTACCTGTGAAATGGATTGCCTTTCTGCAGCTGATGACAAAGTTTCACTTGGTAATAGTATTAATGCTTTCTCTAAAATTCTTCTTACTGTTGTCTTTCCTCCACCTGTTGGGCCCACTAACATCACACCAACACAAGCCTAAAAGAAAATTACAGACAGACAGTTTAATTCTGGCTTTCTAATGGTTCAGCTAAGCTGAGCTTGAAGGTTCTTATTTACAAAGACATCTCTATCTATATCTACAGATCATTCTTTCGGATTATTGTTCAGTCAATTGTAATCTGTGTTGTTTTTATCGACGAGGCTAATGTTAAAATTGCCAGAAATCTCCTAATTTTAAAGTTCAAAGAATAATTTCCAATTCTTGATATTTAACGATTTATCTCGCTTTCCAATTCTCCTTATGTCTTGTACCTTTCTCTACAACTGGCTTCTGTAATAACATCCTTCGGGGCTTTCCTCGTAGACGTTTTTTCTCTCTTTCGCGTTCTGATTGTCCTTTCCATGTCAGCCTTCCCTGAGTCATCTTTGTCCCTCTTTCTTCCATTGTCCCTATCTGATCTCATCAATCTAAATATCTTGAACTACATCTGAATTCTAATGACTCTCTAATGGATACTTTTTTCTCAGTCTTTGGTTCTAAGTGCCAGAGTGAAATTTCAATGGTCTGCTATATATTTTCATCGGGAGGTCTTATATTTCCAAAGTCAACGTCAACTAATCCGTATGTTCTTTTCGTACTTGTTCCTTCTCTTGTGCCTCTAATCTAGTTAATAAAACCACTATATACCAATCATACAAAGTAGAAAACTTGCCTGTTTTCATCTCATCTGGTACAAAACTTTGGCTTGATTCTACCTTCTTTCCATCCCGACCACAATTGCAGTACCTTGGTGTTCGGAACTGAATGCTTAGCCCACTGTCCCCGCCCCCCACCCAAATGCAAATGTTGAAGCAATGTGATGATTTGGGAGGTGGGGCCTTTGGAAGGTAATTAGGTTTAGATGGGGTCACGAGGGCAGGGCCCTATGATGGGAGTGGTGTCCTTATGAGAAGAGGAAGAAGGATCAGAGCTCGCTCGCTCTCTGCTCTGTGAAGGCACAGTGAGAAAGTAGTTGTCAAAAAGCCAGGAAGAGGGCTTTCGCCAGGAACCAACTCTGCCAGCACTTTGATCTTGGACTTCCCAGCCTCCAAAACTGTGAGAAATAAACGTCTAATAGTCCTATTCCATAACTGTCAAGGTGAGAGGGGTCCAAAAGCCCTGCTTGTCAAATGGAAATAGTATATTCAAGGACATAGCTAACCTGGCTTCAGTGGCGAGATGGCTTTACACGAAAGAGTGGCAGCCATTCCTCTGGGAGCAATCTTAGCGCTCACTTCACCTCCTAAAGCAGAGCTGCTGGCTCAGTGCAGCCCTTAGTTCAGAAAGATTCCCCTCGATGCCTTGGTCTGGTTTTCTGATGCTTCGGCTAAACTGAAACCTAAAGGTCCTTGGGGTTTAGCCTCAGCCGGCTGTGAAGAGCCAAGCGCAGACTTGTTCGCTCTGCTCACTGGGAAGAACTGTGACTCTTGGGCTTTGCCAACGGCCTATTTGTTTGGGCTGCCACTTGGAAAGCTAGACACACTCGAAGATTAAAGATAACCTCTTCGAGGCTGTGACTGTGGAAACTCATTACGGCTGCTGATCAAACCGAGTCACTCCAAAGCCCATGCTGAGGACCATCCTTCGATGAGATTACCCAGAACCAAGCCACCGACTGAGCCTGCCCTCCCCAGATTGCCATGATTGCTGTCCGGGTTCCACATCATACTGGGTGTGGCAACACGTTCACCATTACAGACCACACGAAGTAAAGAACTGTGTGTTTACGGTGCACGGGCTACTACTGCGTTCCAGACTCATGACTCCTGACAGAGGTTGACACAGCTGTCTCGCAGTGGGGGGAGCCACATCGCACAGGATGTGAATGACCCTCAAATACTCCTGGCAGATCCTGTGTCAGATCTTTAATCTGCTCTCTTGGGGCAATCAGGGTGCCTCACTGATACTGACATTACTTCAAGTTATGGGGCTGCTGTTCCAGTCGAACCCCTAACAGAATTACGTCTCTTGAAAATAGTTTGTGTCGCGTGTCGATATCTAGACCATTTGTAATCTGACAATGGTAAACCTTTTAGGTCAAGTCACCGAACAATGAGCTGATGGTCAAGTTATTTCATGAGCTTTCCACACTCTCTCCCATCCATAGGCATCTGGTATTATCGGGCACTGGAACAGCCTTCTCAAAAATTGACTGTAAAAGATTTGACTCTATATCCCTTTTTTTCTCTTTGTCTATACATCTTACCAAAGAAGTTTGGTTATTGGATGCAGGTGTCCCCCAAAAGGGATCACTTCCTTTCATCTGCTTCCTGGGTAATTCTCAGCATGGAAGAGATGGGATATTATATAGCCCTATTTTGAAAATTTGGGATTCAGTCCTGACCATTCCTGGACATGGAGCTTCTTTCTTTCTTTTAATGACAGCCCCAGGCCACCCTGATTGGTACACATGCCAAAGTGGGGCCTAGGGAATTCGAATTTAATTCTACTTCAACTACCTAGATTCTAAAGGATTTGTAAAAATAGGACACAAAAACACAAATCATGAAAAGATCAATAAATATTGCTGCAGCAGCAATGTCTCCTGCGCAGGTGAACGCCATAAATGTTTCTAAAAAGCCAAGATTCAGATATTTTATTTGCAATGCAGACAAGCCCTAAAACAGTATAATATAAAAATGCATAATGAAGTCTGTACATTTACTCAAGGAGAGACAAACAACCCCATTGGAAAACGAGAACATTTCCATAATCTGGCAATTCACAGAAAACACAAATGGCTGATAAACATATAAAAGAGTGTACAATTTTACTAGTAATTAGGGAAATGCGCAGTCTGATGTTTTTACTGTTCATTCGAAACAGGAAATTCGAAGAAGGTACAGCAATAGGACGAGGAACACCTTACACTGCATTTGTAAGATATTTTTACAGTTACGTATTAAGGGCTTAGAAGAAGATGAAAAAGATGAATTTGTTGACAGGTAAAGTGAGTGTCAAATACCAAAGCCTCTTTTATTATTGTGTTTTCCTCCTCGATCACATCTATTAAAACCCAAGAGCAAAGAATTGCTAACATGCCATTCTCCGCTTACCTGAAGTTGATCATAAAACTGTATAATTTTCTCTTTCTGAGCCGGCCATTGTTGTAAGCCCAAATGTTGTGTTGCAATAGATATTGCTTTCTGAAACAAAATAAAGACATTAACTTAAAATGCATCGTAAATTAAACTTGATACGTAATCCTACAAAATCTCTCTTAACTAGGTACCAAATGCTGTACTTTAAGACAGTAGTTCTTAATTTTTAATTTCACCAACCTGAGAATGAAAACTTACTTTTCACTCAAAATACAATACAATACGCCAGTAGCAAATTCCTAGATCCTTCCTACACTTAAGAAGTCATGCTTTAAGATGTATTTAAGAACTAGCTATTACCACAATACAATTGTCTAATTATCCTACACTTAAAGAAAATGCAGTGTAAAAGAGTCTACATCTTGGTGTAATTCTAATCACCATTAAGGAAGTTTTTCAATTTTGTAATAATTATCTTAATGTTTCAATGTTAAAAATACTCCGAGATGGCAGGTAAAATTTGCTAAATGGAAGACTTGATGTGGTTATACATTAAAACATCCAAGCTAGAGCCACTTTCTGGGATGTTTTAGGAGGAAGCCGTGCTTCCTCCTAAAGTGGTTTTTTCACCGTGGATACAACTGGTAACTATGTCAACGGGGAAAAAGCCGATTTATCCTTTTTCTCACCAACCTCTTGCATTCCTTGCATTCCTACAGTGGGGCGGTCAGGGAAGCAGCTGAAGGAGACACAGAAAACTCAGCAGGAGTGTACAGGCCGGGAAGAAAGCAGCTCTTGTGGCAAGGCTGACTGAAGGCAGGAAATCGGCTGAGAAAATGTTTTGAAAAGCGACCTCTTTTAAATGGAGTTATGAGACTGCCCACTTGAGGCCTGCGCGTCTAGCTGTTTTAGATGCGGAAGCCTGGGAATTCTTTGCCGTTAACACAAGCCTAGATACCTGCCTGCATACAAGCAGGAAGCCGCACAGGTGTGGCATGAGGATAGCACGGGATGCACAGAGCAACGGAATTGGAATAATTAAAGAGGAGATACTCAGACGGGTCGCCCCACCTGGCGAAGGGTCTTCACAAATTTCTTACTTTAGAACCTTTTGAAATAAAATGATAATCCTATTGTTAAGTATTTACGGCTGTATATGATGTTCCCTAGAGTCAACTGGATGACAAACTATGTATGTAGTTTGACACGGTTTCAGGAATTCTCAGTTCACCCTGGTCTGAGTTAATGGCCCCACACACTCTGGATATTGTTTGGAATAGAAATGTGAATGGAGTAACAGTCTCCACAGACAAAGAGGAATTCAAGCGGAAAAACGGTAGACAAGAAAAACAAGGACACTTCACGTAAAAGGGTACAATTCACAATGATCAATAACTGATATTTATGTACGAAACAACATAGTAATAACTATTAGCAGAAAGCATGACAGTAGACGTAAGTATACTAATAGGAGAAATGCATTTACTTCTCTAAGTCCAAGGTAAACTGAGTAAGTCAGCACCATAAAAAGGAGACTAAAAGGAGACCTAAAAAACATAACCGGTGAGCTAGAGAAAATGGTGTAGAGAGTTTAGCTAAGCTACTCCTTGGTACTGCTGCGTCAGCATCCATTCTGCTCAGCCAAACAGCCTGAGGGAGCCTTGAACTGACACCAGCCCCCAGTCAAGCGCACGTCCTGGATAACATGCTGGTGTAGTTCCGGATATACCCCCCGGAACTATATATCCCTTGTGATCAGTAGCCTGCCCTGCCTCCCAGGGCTTCCCTTGTGAGCTCCTGTGATAAGACCACTGTGGAATTTACCAAAACCCTGCTCTTTTTTGGTTTGGATTGATCAATCCGGCCTTAGCTTGGGAGCCCCAAAGTGCTCCATCCGCAGACTCTCATAAAGGCATGCGCCCCAGGTCCTGCCTCTCTCTCTCTGCCTGCACACTGCCTTCACCCTCCATATAGCTCCTCGGGGTATGCACCGTGTACTCCTCCAGGACCTGTGAGTAATAAACTTCTTTAATTTATTTCATTGAACTGTGGCTCACCATTGACGCCTTGTGTTCCCCTTAACAAAGTCATAATAAATGGAAATAAACTGCACCCTATATCTTGTATATGCAGTTGATAAGAGAATATACCTTCTTTTCATGTGCATATGGAATATTCACACACATATACATATATAGAATATACATATTCTATATCTTAGGCTATAGAAAATCCAAATTCTTAAGGATAAATGATGACAATATTCTCTGATCATAACACAGTAAGGCCATAGAGATTCATAACAAAACCAGAAAATACAAAGAAAGATCCCTTACTTGGAAATTAAACACATGAACAATCTGTCTTAAAGGAATCCTCAGGAAAAAAAGGGAGCAGTAACTATAGAATTTCTGGAAACAATTCATATGAAAACTCTACACATCTGAACTTATGGCAGACATAACTAAAGCAGTGCTTAGAGGAATTTTAGTAGTCTTATAAACTTATATTAGTAAAAAAAAATAGACATCTGATTAAAAAATTGAACAAAGAATAACAACACAAAACCCAGAGGAATAAAGAAAGATATGAAAAAATATCAATATGGATATTAAAGAGTTAAACATGATTAAATAAATAAGAGGCTGGTTCTTTAAGGAAAAAATAATAAACTGGATGAAATTATAAGTAATCTAATCAATGGAGAAATCCAAATAAAGAAAATAAGAAATGATTGGGAGAAAGAACGCAGAAACAAGAAACTAAAAGAATCATGAGATGGTGGTTTGTTCAAATTCATATTAACACATTTTAAAACTCGAATGAAATGAGAATACTGTCTAGTTTTACAAAATTGACCGTAGAAAAGATATAAACTCTAAACAGGCTAGAATCATGGAAGAGCTACCCAGTTTTAAAACTCGTGGTCTGGATGGTCTTCAAGAGAAAAATCTTCCAAACCTCCCGACCTAACCCAATGAATGGTCTTTTTCGTTGTCGTTCATTGCTTCACGTGTGCTCAAAAATAATATGTATTCTGTGCTCATCGGGTATAAAGTTATACACACAACCCATTAATTTTAAAGAACAAATAATGATAAAGCTGTTTAAACTATAGTTTCTAAAATAAATTTTAAAAAATGTTCATTTTAAAAGATGAGTAGGGTCCCAGGGAAAGAAATCAATACGTTTAATGGCCTGATACCTGATCAGGGCCTAGGAAGAGCCAGAAAACAGAGAGAAATTCCGGGTGGAAAACAGCATGGAGGAAGGAAAAAGGCTGGGATGTATCGGAAAGATAACCTGATCTGGCCAGACCGTGAAAGGCGCTATACTTCAAGATAACTAATGTGGCTCTTGTACGGCAGACATCACTGATTCAAAAATGGCTTTGTGGACTCGATCAAACACGTGTTAGGAAAGCAACTCTCGTGGCCACATATTACAATGCAGGTGGCAGGAAGCTCTGTCACAGTAACAAGAGACGTGGACAGCCTACCTGGACTAAGCAATCGCCGTAAGACTGTAGACATAAGAGAAAAAATACAGGGCTGTACAATTATAATACGTCATTTTAATGATCACAAAATATTTACATTTTAAAGTCTTTTTCCACAACTCTGATCTAATTTGATTTTCAAAGCGCCCCTTTAAAGTAGGAAGAGCAGTCATTATTTCTAGTTGAAAGATGAGAAAATTGAGAAATAAAATATGGAACAACAGCCTTCCTTGCCTAAAAGTACAGTTTATTCTCTTTTCAATGTATGCAATGAAGGCTCTTTTTTTTCCCTCCAAGGGGAAAACATATCTCCAAGTATTTTTATCCCCCAAATTATAACATGAAGAGAGTAATTCAGAAAGAACCGTAATATTTTTTAAGCCACATCTAGTTTCTTATCGTAATTGATCCTCCACATCTAAATCATTGGTGACAATTTTCAAAGTCCTTATTACCTCCAAGGCAACTTGATTTACTTTTGAGACGGTTGCTTCAAGAAAAGCATCTCCTATAATATTTTCAAAAACTGGAACATCTTCTGGAAGAAATTTTGGTATACTAGCTTCTCTTACAGCTTCAATAATGATCAGAGTTTCGTCGGCTTCAGAGATATTGCCACTTGTGTTACTTTATTGGTAGAAAACAAACATAAAAAACAAGTTAGCAGGTGTGCCTTGCTGACATTTAAGGCCATTAATATTCATTTTCAGAGGTGGCTATTCCAATATCCTTGCCTCCTCTCCCTCACTGCAAAGCAGCTATGTGGTTCGGATGAGGTTAATCTGGTCCCAGCTCCAGTGATGGGACCTGACTTTCTAGGACGGTCTGGGGAATGCCATTCCCCAGTCACTGATTCAGGGATGTGCGTTGCACCTGTAAGGTTTTTTTCAGCTGCAAATAACAGAAATGAATTCAGGTTAATATCGAATGAAAAACAACATGGCGATTTGTTAAAAATCACCAGGAGGGCCAGAGAACCAGGCTTGCTGGCTATGCAGCCGGGAACAATGGCCAAAATTATACTGCCGAACTGGTCGTATGAGGACTGACTGCCACCATAGTGCAGGGAGCAGTGCCTGCTGCACCAGTACCTCCGATGCTGCTGCCAGAAGTGCTCACTGCCCCTATTTCTGGTAACTGGTGCCACCCTCGCCAGAATGGACTCTGTATACCCCATTTCTTCTTTCACTAGCCTCAGGTTCAGATTCTAGGGTAACTGTGGCTGACTTGCCAAGGCTGTATGTCTGCGGCATAGTTGTTAGAAGGAAGTTTTGGAAAGCAAGAATGTGGCATAACCAATACTCATATAAAGGAATATAACCCCAGTTACGGTTATGGGTCATATGGACCAGTGACAACCAGGACCCGGTGATTCTGGGGGAGACAAATGATCTGTTCATTCAGGACTTCAATTTTAATGGTGTGGATAGCTCTAATTATTAAAAGCTATCTTGCCATCAAAAAGGAAGCCAGCCTAAAGATAAGCCAGTACAGGGAGGGCTGCAGTGCTGAGAATATCTGAGAAATAAAACTGAAATTCTGATTAAGTAATCATACCCTAACCCGCCTCTGGATTTTCTGATTGGGTGAAATAAAATAGTAAATTCCCTCTAAGCTTAAGCCAACTTAAGTTTTCTGTTAACTGTAACAAAAGCTTCCTGATATACTAAGTTATCACATAATATAACAACAATAATTCATGTATTAAACACTTCAGTACATATTTTTATATATTAAACATGTAATCAAAAGGGAAGAAAAGTAACGACATGAAGTATGATAGGATTTTAGAGCTGGGAAGGAAGGCAAATTTCCCTGTAAGTGTCCTCTCCTCTTGTCCACTGGTGCCTGAAATTCGTCAGGATGGTGAGGATTTTTAAGTCTTTGATCCATAATAAGAACAGCTAACAGCTAACATTTATTGAGTATTTTTCACTAGGTGCTGCGCTTTAAGTTATTATATTATATTAATCTTTCAGTGACCTAAGAGGTAGGAAGAGTAACACTCAGAAAAATGAAACAACTTGCCCGATGTCACACGGCTGGTGAGTGTCTGAACTGGGGTTCGGTGGGGTCTCTCTGACTTCAAAGCCCACACTTACAATCGCTCCACTGAAATGATCGGAGACCCTTACTGGGTCGGTATTACAGCAGTGGCTTACGTTTCTCTGTGAATGCATCTCCGAGTCTCTCTTCTCAAGATGTTTTGGTAGGGACATGGCAAGAGTCTGCCTGAAGTCATAGTGAGGGGGCCACATTAGAAGGGGAAAGGGTGCCAGACTTTACTGCTGGGGGTCTAGGGAGTAACCTTGACCCTTTTCACATTTTTTTTTTCCCCAAGACAGATCTTCCTTTACATGAGAGAATAATAAAAAGAGACTATAGGGTAAAAAATGAAAGCTCTAGATAAATGTCAACTATTGCGCTTCACAGATTCTGTGGTTTTTCACAAACTGGCGTCGAGCGAGGCTTTTTCAACAGCATTTCCTCGCTTCACGTCTCTGTGTCACATTTTGGTAATTCTCGCAATATTTTAAACTTCTTCATTATTATTATCGTTGTTATGGTGATCGATCATCAGTGACATTTGATGTTACTATTGTAATTGTTTTGGTGCACCACGAATGGCATCCATACGAGACAGTGAACTTGATGGACAAATGCTGTGTGTTCTGACTGCTCCGCTGACCAGCCATTCTCCCCTCTCTCCCTCCTCAGGCCTCCCTGTTCCCTGAGACACGACAATATTGAAATTAGACCAGTTAGTAACCCTGCGATGGCCTCTAAGTTTTCACGTGAAAGGAAGAGTTACACATCGCTTTAGATCAAAAGATAGAAATGATTGAATTTAGCAAGGAAGGTGTGCCGAAAGCTGAGCTAGGCCGAAAGCTAGGCCTCTTCCAGTGAGCCAAGCTGTGAAGTCAAAGCAGAAGTTCTTGAAGGAGATTAAAACCGTTACTCCAGTGAACACGCAAATGATAAGACTGTGAATCAGTCTTATTGCTGGTGTGGAGAAAGCTTTTTGTGGTCTGGACAGAAGATGAAACCAGCCACATTTCCTTAAGCCAAAGCCTAATCCAAAGCACGGATCTAACCCTCTTTAATACTACGAAGGCTGTAAGAGGTAAAGAAACGGCAGAGGAAAGGTCTGAAACTAGCAGGCTGTTGGTTCATGAGGTTTAAGGAAAGAAGCCGTCTCCATAACATTAAATTGCAAGGCGAAGCGGCAAGTGCTGATACAGAAGCTGCAGCAAGTTATCCAGAAGATCTAGCCAAGATAATTAATAGAGGCGGCTATACTAACCGACAGATTTTCAATGCAGATTAAGCAGCCTTATATTGGAAGAGAATGCCATCTAGGACTTTCATAGTTAGAGAGAAGTCAATGCCTGGCTTCAAAGCTACAAAGTACAGGCTACCTCTTCTGTTAGAGGCTAATAATACAGTTGGTGACTTTAAGTTAAAGCCAGTGGTCATTCGCCATTCTGAAAATCCTAGTGTCTTAAGAATTATGCTAAATCTACTCTGCCTATGCTTTATAAATGGAGCAACGAAGCCTGAATGACAGCACATCTGTCTATACCATGTTTTACTGAATATATTAAGCCCAGTGTTAAGATCTATTGCTCAGAAGAAAAAAGAAAAGATCCTTTTCTAAATATGACTGCTCATTGACAATGTACTTGGTCACCCAAGAGCTTGGGTGGCGATGGACAATGAGATCAATATTGTTTTCACGTCTGCTAACACACAGCCATTCTGCAGCCCATGGATCAAAGAGAAATTTCAACTTTCAGATCTTATTATTTAAGAAATAAATTTCATAAGGTTACAGATGCCAGTGACAGTGATTCCTCTGATGGATCTGGGCAAAGCAAATTGAACATCTTCTGAAAAGGATTCCTCTTTCTAGATGATGTTAAGAACATTCATTATTCATGGGCGGAGGTCATAATATCAACATTAACAAGAGCTTGGAAGAACGTGATTCCAACCCTCTTGGACGACTTTAAGGAATTCAGGACTTGAAGAAGTAACGGCGTATGTGGTGGAAACAGCAAGAGAACTAGAATTAAAAGTGGAGCCTGAAGTTGTGACTGAATTACTGCCATCTCATAATAAAATTTTAACAGATAAAGAATTGCTTTTTATGGATGAGCATGAAAAGTGGTTTCTTGAGATGGAATCTACTCCTGGCAAAGATGCTGTGAAGACTGTTGAAATGACAATGAAAGATTTAGAATATCGCGTAAACCTGGTTGCTAAAGCAGTGGCGGCGTTTGAGAGGACTGACTCCAATTTTGAAAGTTCTACTGTGGGTAAAATGCTACCCGGCGGCATCACATGCTACAGGTGGCTCTATGAAAGACGAGAGAACATGACATCAGGCAGCTGATACTTGCTACTATTCAACTTTTTAAAATTATTTAAAAATATTTACAGTTTTTAACAGACACTTACATACATGCGATTAATATTATATAGGCCATTCTGTAATCCATGCCTGCTCTTTTCTTAAGAAATAAAATACTATAGTAGAGCTAAAGCCTTATCCCTTGCTCGTTTCCCCTCCCAACATTTTGTACTTTTTACTACCTCTGTACGTAGCCATAAACAATCTACAACAGTTGTCTAAAATTTCATACAAACGGTATATTGATATACCCTTTTGTAACATATTCATGCTTTTTTTTTCATTTAGTTTTTTAATAGGTAACACACTGATAACAGCCCCAAACGAACTAATAATGAAAAAGAATGCCTGCTTTCCCTATAGCCTCACCCACAGAAGCTCCATCTAACGTTTCTATTTTTGCCCATCTGATAAATGAGAAACAATATTTCGGTGTAATTTTAGTAGGGATTTCTTTCATTATGAGTGGGGTCGAGCATTCTTTCATGTATTTAAAAGACTTTCATGTTTCTTTTTCTGAGAACTGTGTGTTGATGCTCCTTGCTCATTTTTCTATATGTCAACTTTAGGATCAGCTTGCCTAAAAACAAACAAGCAAGCAAGCAAACAAACAAACAACAAACAATACCTTTGGTATTTTTACTCGGATGCATTTCCATTCATAAATTAACGTTTAGACTATTTAAATCTTTATGATGTTAAGTCCTTTAAGATATTAAGTATGTATTAGTTCATTTATTCATGTTTTCATTTGTGTCTTTCAGTTGTGTTTTAATGTTTTCTTCACATGAGTTTTATACGTATCTCATATAAGTATATTCATACAGGTTTTACATTCTTCATTGAGTTACTGCTCTTCTCCGTGGGGTCTTTTATTCTAATACGTATTTTATTATGTAAAGATAAAGTATATTTTTTTGAATTTGAAGCATTTTTTTTCCTTCTTTCACATTCTTAATAATCTCTACCATATTTTACTGTGACACTCTGGGAACTTCTTATTTTATCTTACCATGACTTAAAATTTTACAAATTGTTTTCCCAGTGTTATATAACTCCCTTTGACCTAACAACTAAAAATTCAACTGACCATTTAAATTTCTGTTTCTTCTTTCCAGCCATTATTATAATTGTCTTCAGTGACCTCAGGCCAAAATCATAATGATCCTATCAAAAATTAAAATATTTGAATTATTAAGTTTCTGAAGAAAAAATGAATTAATTTGGCAATAAATGCAAAGAGTATACAGTTAAATCACAAATCAACTATGCTACGAAGAGAAACGGTAATGTGGATCGAAGAAACCCTCAATTTTGCCTCTAATGCTCTCACTTCTCTCTGAAACTGGAGCTCTTAAAAGTCTCTTTCTTAAAGGACAATGGATAACTATTAAAGGTATTAAAAACTATCACTATCTAAATTACATTTTCTCTGACATAGAGAGATGAATTGAAAAAAAATCTTGTAAAGAGGAACACTTTGAAAATAATGCGGTTAGCTGTCCTAACTATTTTGGGTTACAAACAAATACTCATTAAGCCGGCATATCGTGGAACAATAATTTTCAAATTGTGGTACTACTCAGATCAGCCACATCAGGAACACCTGAGATCTGGTTAGAACTATAAATTCTCTAACCCTACCCCAGACAATTAGAAAGCTGGTGGTAAGGTCCAAATATTTGTGTTTTAACGAGTCCTCCAAATTATTTTGATGCACGATAAAGTCTGAAAACCACTGCTCTAAATGTTAACTTCCTCATCTATAATTTAAAATATCAGATACTCAATCACTCTCCCCAAATCTTAGAGGAAAGGTGTGAAGCCTTGTCCGACTTTACCTATTACCTTACATCCAAATGGGGATATGGACTTGATGTGCTGTTGGGATTCTAAATTCATTATTTTCCCAGGTCATTCCTGGACCAATATCAGAAAAGTTTTATATAACTAATTACCTTTATTTGAGAAAAGCGGTTCATTACCTGTTGCGAGAGCTGTTTGCTAGCCAATTCGTAAGTGTTAACTAGCTTTCTGGAGAGTGATTTTGCAGATTTGAAACCAACTGAAAACAGGATTATTTCAGCAATCATTTGATAATGGGGAGTCATCATTGCCACTGGGCGAAATAGAGATTTTAAGTTATCTGGGAGTTCTACTCGACCTTCATTTCTTAAAGAGGAGAAGAAAAACAGACAAACAAAACACCGCTTTTCAGTTTTTAAATGAGGTACCACACAGTACAACTATACCCCCAAAACTCTATTGGCTTTCTATGTGATCTTTGTCTGAAAACAAGTTTCTAAGATAATTTCTATTGTACTTTTCATCTCGCAAAGCTTCTCAGTTTACGATCTTTTCTTCCTGTGCCTCCTCCTCTGATTCACCTCACAAGAGTTCCCTCTGATGTCCCGGACCAGGACCATCGTTAACATTCTAGAAACGCTATTTATGGAACCTGCCCAGGCTCCAGTCCTATAGTGACGATCGTCCTCTTCCTTCTGCTACTCTCATCAGCTTTTCTGTGTCCATTTTGTGACAAACTGCTGATCTTTTCCTTTCTCTCTGGCTATTCATGACGTGAAAACATCCCTTGTTCAGAAGTGTAATGCGAGATTGTCCATATGGATGAGAGAAGGGTTGTAGCTATTTATAAATGATGTGAGTAGTGGAGGGGTTCAGAGGGATGGTGGTGGAGGGTAAATGAGAGATATACGATGTCAGACAACGCCATCTATGGTTAAGATTCAAGAAAAGTATTTTGTCCCATGTCCACCCCTACTGTAGATTAACTGATACTTACTCATAATTAATGGTGACAAATACTGCACAAGACATGTTAATACGAATTTCTTTTCCTTCCAATACAAACCTACGAGACATTACAGTATTCGTCACTAGGAGAATTGTTTTCTCAAGGCCAAAGTATGTTAAAACTACAACTGAGGTGGGAACTTTTCTAAGGCCGTGTTACATTAAAATCCAAATAGAGTATGCTGGGACAAAACAATGGTAAGAGGAGAGAAAAAGCATATCTTAAGCCAAACTTGTGAGCCCTGCAGGGATTCCGATTTATTTGATCTTTTGTTCAATCAGAGCCAATGTTACGAGGGGCCTGAGGCTGGAAGGGACACATCTGAATGACATACACAGGAAAAAGAACCTGAGGGGACCCTTGGGACAAAGAACTCTGCCTGGATGACACAGTGAAACACGGAATGGCCACGCCATAGAGCTTCTGCTTCAGCGTGGAGCACAGCCTGCCCCTTATTCCCCAATTATACAATGTTGAGAACAATGTGATATAGAACCCTTCACATGGACACCAGTGACAGAGACAATGGAGAGAAACCATCGAGTGATTCCATGGACAGCTGACACCAGCAAGGGCGGTCAAACAGGGAAGGAGACATGAGTGGAACAGAACCAGAGGACAGAACTGTGGGAAACTCTGCAGAGGCTGAAGAACTGGTGGCATGTGGGTTACTGGGGCCCCCACTTCTACCCACAGACCTGTGAGGCCTCGTAACATTGGCTCTGATTGAACAAAATCCTCGAGAATACAGCTAGACATGAGGGTCCATTAGCTTGAGTTAGAAACATTAGATTGCAAAAGAAATATCAGAAATATCAAACTGGAATAGAAATTTTAAAGGCTACAAATCCAATTATGCCCGTAAAGTAAATCACCTGAGTTTCTGAATTTATCTGAAGAGAAAAAAGTTTTTGTTTGGATTCGTAAACGTTAGTAATTCTAACATACAAATACTGTTATTATAAGATTTTTCAATTAAAGTCTAATAATTCAGAGTAATGGGATTAAGAGGGAGTTTCAGGTGTGTGGCCAGTATAATTTTGTTTTTTTAAAAAAAAATATAGAATTCTAGGAAAAAACTTTGGTTTCTTCAAATGAAATATCATGAGATGAAAAGGTACCAAGAGAATCGAAACTCAAAATGAAATCAGAATATATTTGCATCATTGTCCCGGTAGTTCAGGAGGTTGTTCCAAGCTTGGGCAAGTTTGGATACCTCTGAGTTGGCACGAAAGTTAGTTATACATTTTTTCTATTATTTGCCAAACAAAAGAAACTTCTAGATAAGTGCCATCCCTCTTGGTCTGTGCTTAGAACCCTACCACCCGCACTTAAACACTGAGTGTAGAAAAAACACTTACTAATAATGAACTAAACAGTAAATGTAGATCAAATCTGCAGTCCAAAGGTATGAATGTATTCAACAAGTACCTGACCGAATAGCTGTCTTTTGCGGCCTTAATTGTCAGGATCTGTGAGGCAATCGCTGACAGAACTTGCACGTCAATTTGATTGAATTCATCAAAACAACACCATGCTCCTGACTGAACTAGTCCAAAGAAGAATTTTCCTATTATCTTAAAAAAAAAAAGAAAAAAAAATTACTAAAATTAAAACGTAGGTGAAATTTTTACTGGGACATTAATTTCTGCATGTTTTTCCCCAACCAAACACTGTTTTCATGTTGAAAGCTACTCAAACTCCTGCACGGTTCAACTACTCTCTGTCTCTCATAAAAGTCTAAACATGCAGTAGCAAACTTTCATGCTCACGGGGTTCATCAAGGTAGGGCCGCAGCTTATATTTTCACGGTTCTGCGTGCCCCTGGTTTGTAAATGCTGGCAGCTAAAACAAAACAACAAAACAAACAAAAACCGTCGTCAGGCCAAACGGCCAAACAGGGCAGTTGTGGACTGAATACTGGCTGAGAAACACCGGAACTCAATGAGGAGCGTTAGTTAGGTGTGGGAGGGAAGGGAGAGGGGATGAGAGAGCGAGAAAGAGCCCCTCAGACCCCAGAACAGAAACTGGCTCCTCCCTCTGGCTGCAGGAATCAGAATTTGTCTTTATTTAAAATTCTGATATTTTGTTTATCATGGTTTTTTTTTTTTTTTGGCATTAATTTTGATTCTAAAATAATATTGCATTAAAAGTATTATTTATCTCGATTGCTAGGTTTTTTGGTTCCCCTCAAGTTTTGCTCAGCAGGCCAGAGCCCCACTCGCCACACCGGACCTCTAGTCCACTGTGCCCTACTGGAAAGTAGTTTCCTTTCAGAGAAAAAAAGGCGAGTTTTAGGAATAATAATTTAATCAGCGTATTTATGTTCATTGATTTTTTAATGTGCTAAATAAGCACAAATTAGACATGCAGGATCTCTGAGATAACGTGCTTTGAATTGCAAATAAAATGACAGCAATCAAATGTAGAAGACTGGGACTCGACGTACAAAACAAAATAAAGTGGAGGGTTTTGAAACCGAGTAAATTTGTGACAGGCACTGAGGTACATGAAATTTTAATAAATATTTCAGATTGTTTTGAGATATGTCTTAGGTTATGTGCAACCACAACAAAATAAGGCTGACATATGAAAGTGTAATCATCTATACATACTGACTCAAATTTTTGTGTTAATCGCAATAGACTCATTGTTCCTAATGGACCTTTTTAGTGAATTTAAGTATAGAGTTTGAACTTATAAATTTATATGAATAAAGTAGTACTCTTAATTTTTTTTATATATTCAGGTTCCACATTAGATTTTGTTTAGAAAGATATTCTGTCAAGAAATTTGAAAACCAGTCTTAAGAAGTAGTTCAATCAAATAAAAGCAAATTATATAATGTTTGAAGTTTATATTACATTCTAAGTTTCTATTCTATTATTTTAAAATAATTAATAGCATTTACAGTTCTATTAATACTTAATGTCTCTCTAAGACATTTTGTTTATTCTTTCAAACCTCAATGAATTTTTCTTTTATGTGTGCAATATTCTGAGTACATACAAATAATCTTTACCTTATAATCCAAATCCTCAAAACAGTTAAATACCACGCAATGTTTGCCTAAGGACTGGGAAACAAAAATATTATTTTATTATATTTCTTGAATTATGACACAAAATATTAATGTTAAACTTCTAGAGTAATAAAATATCTTTATTCTTTTGAGGAAAGTTTTGCAATTTAAGATGAATTACATGCCAAATATAGAAATTCAAAAAACAATATAGTAGAAATGCAAATATACAGTTATGGTTCAGTTTATTTGTACATGGAACATTAAGGTTGTTTTTAAAAACATCAATGAATAAAAACAAAAACCGAGAAGAAAAAACATTTAGTGGTGTCATAAACTGTATCCTTTGCTTTCATCAGTTACTTCTGTCTGCCGGTCTGTCTGTCTGTCTGTCTGTCTGTCTGTCTCTCTCTCTCTGTCACACACACACACACACATGCACACACACACACACACACACACTCTCAGCTATTAATCACAAAGACTAGGTGAAAGTCTGTGTATGAGGCTCAGAATACGGGAAGGGGAAGGGGGAGGGAGACGAAACTACCACTCATCTGTCAGTCGGTTAGTATAGTGGTATCTAAGTAAATACAAAGCGTATGTTGGCTTCACTGAGATCCCAAGTCCCAGCACGTAACAGGCATTCCAAAATTAATTTATGAATTGTACGAATTAATAAATGTGCTAGTTATACGTTATGAACATCCTAACAGCACAAATGGTGTAAATTTCAGGTACCGTTAAAGCTGGCGTGACTTAAAAAAAAGTTTTTCTTCTGAATATAAAACCACTTACTTTTGCTAGGTCTTTGACACTCTCGGTTTTCCCGGTACCCGCTGGACCACAGGGGCAGCCTCCTAGATTCAAGTGCAGCGCTCCAGTGAGAGTCAGCCAGCATCTGTTAGTGAGAGGCGTGATAACCAGTCGTGGGGTACAGCCCAAGTACTCGTAGCCATAAGTGAAACTGGCATTTCCTTGAGATACGTAGCACAACTTCTGTTTTTCATTCCATTTATATTGCAGATGTCTGAAAACAATATTTTAAATGCTCATATTATTGGGGCAAAATTACTTTTAGTTTTTTTTTTTTTTCAAATGCGGTTTACACCTTTTTACTTTGTGCATCCATCAACAAATTATTGTATTTTTATTGTCACTACTTTTGTTTTTTCACCGTATTAATAGTTGTACTAAGAAATATAACTATTTATAAGTGATTTACCCGCCACCATTACAACATTACAGACTTCCGTATTTAACGATATATTTATTTTATCAGTGACATTTATAGTTTTATGTTTTCTTGTTACCAATTCGCATCCTTTTGTTTCAGCCTGAAGAAAACCCTTTAACGTTTCTTGTCAAGCTAGGCTAGTGGTGATAAATTTTTTCAGTTTTTGCTTGTCTGGAAAACTCTATCTCTTATTCAATTATGAAGGACAGTTCTGCCAAGTAGAGTGGCTTGTTTGGCAGTTTTTTCTTTCCGTACTTTGTATGTATCATGCCTTTAGGGCCTGCCTCATGGCAAAGTTTCTGCCGAAAAATCTGCCGAATGTCTTATGGGGGTTCCCTCGTACATAACAAGTCGTTTTTCTCTCTCTGCTTTTAAGGTTCTCTCCCTGTCTTTCCCATTTGACAATTTAAACGTAACGTGCCTTGGCGTGGATCTTTTTACATTCATCTTATTTGGAACTCTGAACTTCCTAGATGTGGATGTATCTTTCTCCATGTTAGAGGAGTTTTCAGCCATTATTTCTTTGAATAAACTTTCTCCAAACCGCCCCCCGCCCCGGGCACTATTTTCTTCGTCTTCCTCTTTTGGATCCCCTATGATATGAATATTCATCCACCTGATGGTGTTCTATCATCACTCCTTTCTATTCCTTTTCTTTTTGCAACTCTGATTGAACTCACTGCTCTGTCTGTTGATTGTTTATTCTACTTCATCTAGTCGGCTGTTGATCCCCAGCAATTATTTTATGATTCGGGTCTTAAATCGTTATTTAAATAGAATGTCAATTTCCAGAGCTTTAGTCTATTATTCTTCCTTTACAACAGAGGTTCCCAAACTTCCTTGGTTTACTATACCTGTAGTATGTCAGTGATTTTTCATGATTACTTTAGGCTGAAAGAAATATCTCCTAGTATCTTTTATTAATGTTTCGATCTAAAGAAGTTTAATAAATATTTTTATCTTCATGAAATAGTAGCTTGTCTAAAAAAAATTACACAAATACATTGAAGAAAAACATTTTCGTTTCATTCTTAAATAACCAGAGTTACTCATGGGATGTGTGTGCCTGTTGTGCACAGCGCAACTTCTCAGATCTTGGAATCAGGTTGAATACAACCGATCTTGTTTCCTGTACGATGTTAGTTTTCATTCGATGCTTCCTCTCTATCAGGGCGACAGTCAAAAACCCAGCTTTACGATGATAAGAAGTCACTGAAAGGTTGCGGCGTGATCTAAAGTTAAAATTGTGAATTACCTGACGCTCCCAGTTTGCTTGGTGTCTGACAGATGTGTATCCCTGTGAGTCCCTCAAAAATCTAAAATATTTTGCAGCGCCCTGTGAGGTCCCTGGGGGTGGCCTTGGCATACAGTTTGGGAACTGTCGCCCTGGAATCACCACACACTCAAATAGTCTTATTAGAATTTTCTTTTTTTTTTTTAGTTTACTTTTCTATATGTGCTCTTCTACTTTTCATTTTCACTTTCAAAGAGAGTTCATAGAAAGTAATGACGACACACTAAACTTTTTGTAGGGCGATGGTTTATAAACAGGGCACATTTCTTTGGCAGTTAAGAATGTATACATTTGTACTTTTACAGTAAAACAAATGTGAATATATATCGAATATGAAATAGTCAGGTAGAATGTACCTGCGTGGTTTCAGCCAAATATGGAAGCTGCTTTCTACTCCGTTTTCCCTAGAGTTTAAAGGAAATGGTCATATCTAAAATCAAGAAATGTATGCTAATGTAGAATTTCTTAAAAATTAGCTTTTCTTGAGAATCAATGACTTTATGCGGGCAGGACAGTTGTTATTCTATAAACAGAGGAAACCTTAGAAAAAAATTCAGAAGTTTGAAACTTCATTTATTATACTTATTATCTACAATAAACTTCATTTGTTATAGGAATCTTATACTTCATCTCTTCTCAAATAGAGACTGAGTGGCTCTATTTTTCTATAGTTTCCTACTTGGACATGAAGTACTACAGATGTACAAATACACAGTAATTGACTCTAGGTAGGTGGAAGGGGATTCTGAGTTAGAGAATTGGCTGGAAATGTTCTCTGTTTCCAGAACTGACAGCACACATTGGAAAGAAGGGGCTTAAGGTAGAGCTTTGCTCTCTACCCATTGAAAAACTGCCCTCTGGCTGAATAGCGAAAGGGAAAATGCAACTATCTCTGAGAAGACAGTCAGCCCAGGAAGGTAAAGCAGAAAGAAGTTACAAAGAAGATGAGAGAAAGAAGAAAGCACTGGAATATGGTGCTCGAACTGGCACGATCCGCTTAGAATTTCTATAAATCCTAGAAAATTAAAGTTCAGATTTGACAAAGTTTACGATAGAGAATTAATGTACGCAGAGAGGGTAAGTGAGAAAGTATTTTATGGAGAGTAACAATTGACATCTACCTACCTTGTCCACTCGAAATCCTCTGCATTGAAAATATTTTTAAGTAGTAAATCTCTCACTATATCTCTGCAGTGGACACAGAGGGAAAGCAATGCCCCAAGGACAGTTTTCGTTCGCGAGTTATTCGTGTCCAGCCCTACCATCTCTGCAACCTCTTCTAGACGGCGTATCGTATCGGCATGGACTTTTTCCAACTGTTCTCTTGGATGAGAACTCACAAAACTTTTGACACAATCGTTATAAAACATGATCTGGCTCTGAAAAAGTGAGATATAAACATGATCATCGAAGCATCAATTTTGTAAATGAAAACAGATGTTTTCCCGAAGTATACGTAGTGTGTGTACGTGTGTGAGTGCGTTTGTGTGTGTGTGAAAGAGAGAGCTTACAAATTTGTATGTATTTGAGAGTTAGAGATTAAATTCGGATTGATGCTTGTGGGGGCTTTATTCGTTAATAAGTGGAAATATATTTATCAGCAATATTTCTACTTCGTACATGTTGTATACTTAACGCACCATCACTAGGCTAAGTAATAACTTAGGGACAGTCATAACGGTAGAAAACTCCAAGATGAAATCAGTACTGTTTCCTCAGTTGAAGTCAGAAGTACTCTCTCTAGAATATATTAAGTCTATAATCATAGTTTTCAGGTACTTTATGTAACTTGTTATTTGATCTATCTCTTAAAGTTAATGGAGGGGGGGATGCCAAGAGGCTTGTAGGTTATCTGAGTGGGCCCAATGTAATCACATGGACCCCTAAAATTGGAGACCTTTTTCTGCCTGTTAGCAGACGGAGATATGACTATAGAGAATGGTCAGAGAGATGCAACACAGCTAGCTTCGAAGATAATGGAAGCCAAGCCAAGAAACACCAGTGGCCTCCAGAAGCTGGAAAAGACAAGGAAACGGTGTCTTCCCAAGAGGCCCCAGAAAGGACCGCAGCCCTGCTGACACCCTGATTTTAGGCTCGTGATACTGCGTTGGCCTCCTAACCTAGCAAACGTTAAGATACTAAATTGCGTTGTTTTAAGTAACGAGGTTTGTAGTAACTTTTTAATGACAGCAGTAGAAAAATAATAGTGTAATACGGTGATGTCTTTAGGAAAGTAAGATTTTCATTCGACATTATTATGAAAAATTTCAAACTATGGAAAAGTTGAAGGAATTATAAAATGAATACACATATACCCATCACTTGTATTCTACAATTAACTTTTTGCTATATATACTTTATCACATATCTATCTATCCGTCTGTCTATCTTATTTCTTAATGCATTTCAAATAAGCTACACATACCAATACGCTTCGTAATGACTTAATTCTAAACCTCTGCTTTTTCGGCAGGGTGTTTGTGTTTGTACAGTTAAGTACTTACACAGCAAAGCAGCATGTACTTACCACAACGAGCACCACTTGTCCTGGGTGAGACACCGCCCACAGAGAAAAAGTTTGGTGGTTCCAGTCTTCAACTCCTTGGCTTACAAATCTAAAAAATAAAAAATTATTTATATTATTTATACCTCATCATTGATTGTGGCCATTTAATGATCTGGCATGACAGTATCACAGGGGAACTTATCTTTAGGATCTCCGATTTTTTTGTTGTCCTAATTTAGGTATATGTATGGGACCAAATAGCATTAATAGAGCCTTGATTTGCGCATAATGCATATTCTTTAAATTCCTTTTAAATATCATCTGCACTTTTCCGATGATGCTATTGAATCTCTGGGATGGAAAAAACTATATTAAACTAGGAGATGATATGTGTTAGCTTGGAATGGTAAAATCAGTATTTAAAATAATTTCTACAATATTGAGTACTAAGCTGAAACCGCCAGATAAATTTTAATGATAAAGTCCTGCATTTAGCTTTAAAAATTATAATGGAGAAAACAGGATTTATGAAAAATATTCAGACATTTTTATTTAAGACCAAATTAATGTGTGTCAACTGTATACGTTTTAATATCATTTTGGTGGCTTTTTTTCATACAGAAGTTGTAAGCATCTGTATAGGCAAATCGATCAACCTTTCCCTTTACATTGTATCACTGATATGTTTTAGAAATTCTGAACACTAAATTTCCTTTATTTTCCTCTAATATGTAAATGGCTTCTTTTTTTTAACTTATCAATCTGAAATTTATTTAGAATTTATTTGAATATTTAAAGCAAATTTCGATTCTTTCCATTTTTGCTGTAGTTGCAAATGCTATCTATCTTCTTTATCATTGCCACTGAGAATAAATGTTTATAATAATGTTTTATATATTTGAAATCAGTATCAGTGAGAAATGTATCTTCATCAATTAAAATGACCTTTTATTTAATGCATTTCTTTTGTTGTTGTTGCTGTACCATAAAATATCTTTACTACTTTCATTTCATAACTTTTTTATTTCCTTGTTTCATCTCTCAAAACAATATATAGTTACATTTCTCTTGACAGAATCTTTAGATCGGTTACTTAAGATTTTATTCTACACTTACATTAATATTTATGAACTTTATTTTGGGCTTTGTTATTTAGTTCTTTGCTATTTTGATCCTTATTCTTTTTCTGTTTATATTCATACAAATGCACACATCCACACAAGGACACTATATATTTTTTACTTCCTTCAGGGTTTGGGAAATATTTATTCTGATTTTGTATAGTTTATATCAGGAGAGAGTGCATCAAGATTTGTTTTCATCCTGAACCATATTCCTTCAAATGATAGAAATATATGAATATATATATGTATATATATGGAATTAGAAAATAAGAAAGTGTGTGCCAGGGCATCAAAAACTTGAAAAATTTCTATCAGATGGAAAGCAAATTGGGATGGAATTATAGAGCAGAGAAACCAAAGAGCACTCCTATCTACTTTCACAGACAAAGAGGGAGCACGGGTAGGCCTTGAGGATAATTAGGAGAGCTTTCTGATAGGAAAACCAGAGTGCCTCTGCTTCTCCCTACATCCTCTGCCCCACACGGAGCACTGAAAGCCATTCAGATGGAAAATTCAGAGAAGGGTCCAGTGAGGTCTCCTGGCTGGAATGTCTGGGGCTACAGAGAGAAGTAGAGCAGGGCCAGGAATGACTCCATGTACCCTGAAGCACTACAAGAAAGAAAGGGAGGGAGGGAAGTAGAGAGAGAAGAAGGAAGGAAACAAAGGAAGTCCACCCTGGTATTTCTCCGTAAGAAGTGGGATGTTCGAAACAGCGCTGGCACCGGAGAAGCAGTGATGTGTCACAGGTGGTTTGTAACCTCCGGGAGAAGCGGAGAGGGATCTCTACGCGCGAACAGGAAAGCTACTCATGGACCAAGTCCTGCACGCTCCCACCTGCTCAGTGGCAATCCCGGAGGTAGGCTGCTGTCATCGGAAACTCAACCTTATTTACAGAAGAGGGAATCCCCAGTACAAATATGAACAGACAATCAAGAGTGACCGACGCTCTAGGAAAACTAATACCATGAAAAAGAGCAGAAATCCGCACCGACAGAAAAAGTAAAACGAGGGAGCCACGTTAACGAGGGAGAGCGAAAAAATCCTGAAAACAGTGACTTTACTCCATCAATTCTGAGACACAATTTAACCTCTCTGAAACTAGATGCACCTTACGGCTGATGGTGTCTGATGGCCCCTCAGCCAGGGAAAAGACGTTGACTTAGGACTATGAAAATCTTCAGTCGACACTTCCTGATAAGATAAAATACTGCCAAAGTTGTGTTAAATTTGATGACATAAAAATATATCTCCAAACAGAATAGTGCAAGTTTGTACCCAGAGGCCAGGAAAAGGCTTCTAGGTAAAAGAAACTACTTTTGAATATTGAATAATGTGTTATTATTACCATTTTGGCTGAATTGCATAATGACCATTTGTGAAAATAAAAATGATTTTCCCCAAAACCCAGTGTAGAGGGGCAGATCCTGCTTTGTTCTGTCCACCAATCTTAAACTATTAAATCCTGATCGTTACCCAATCTTGATCAAACACCCACATTGAAAGACCTGCCTTAAACCGACTTCAAAATCCCAGTAAATATTCCAATCGTATGCTCCCTCCTCTGAGGCACTCGCCCTTACTCACTAAACTCAGCTTTGTCTTATAAACAGATTATCTGGTGATATTTGGGGGAGCTAGTGTTCAATAAGTTGAATTTGAATTTGGAATTAATTCTATTCTCAGCCGAACTAGCATACAAATATGAGGGCAAAATAAAAATATTGGCCACCCACCGATGCTTCCTGGAAAAATTACTTGCAGATGTATCCAGCAAAATGAAAGTGATTTTTAAAATGTGAGACCTATAAAAACAGTAATGAACAAAACCCAAATAACCCAAAAAACTACTAAGCGTAGATAGTTGTTGATCCGTAATAAATACAGCGATTCGGAATAACATCCTAAATGATTATGACATGAAAGAGGTGATGGGAGGGGATTTTGATGTGATACATGTTCTTTCGGGATAAGCTGGAAATGTTTTATTAAGTGTGTTAAAATTTTAAAAGTAGTCACAAGATCAAAGAAAATGTTTATAACTTTGGCAGAGCTACACCAAAAGAGGTGAAGAAACTCAATCTTAACGACGCTGAGTGACAAACAAAAACAACAACAAAAAACCCCAAAGCCCATTTGTTAGAAAACATACAGAACAATGGTAGGCATGAGTCCAAATGTGAGCGTCATCAAAATAAATGCTGAAAGGCCGTGTTATCAGTCGGCAGGAGACAGCACATTCAAAGGGTTAGTGGGCGAGAGCTCAAGACGAAGGCAGGGTTAAGGGAGCCGACAGGGATGGCGAACACCAGCGTGTAGCAACAGGGGGCAGTGATACCGCCCCAAGGCCCAAAGGGGCAAGGGGAGCAGCGTCACTGAACCCGGTGACGGCTGGAGGTGTTGGAAAGGTGCCCCCTGTCAAGAGCTGTGGCTTCGGGTAAAGGAGCACAGGTTCTGCTAAAACCAGCGAGGCAGAAACGAAGCCTCACATTTGCCCCACGCAACTGGAAGCTACGAGGCGAAGGAATCAGGTTACCCCGTCGGCGGGCATGAGCACCCCGCATATACACCACACGGAAAAGGGCACAGAACGACCTTCGGGGCACACAGACTAACCGGCACTGACCGCAAACACAGAGATCTTGGTAAACGTCCAACAAAATAGAAGCAAAAATTAACGTCTATTTTTTATATTTGACTCAAGAAACGTTAACAGGACACAGAAATATTAAAAATAACATTGTGATATCATGTTCTAATTATTTCCTGATGGTTATAGAAAGGCTATTGGTCTTGAAGTTTTAAAATCTGTATTTATTAATACTCTCCTGAATGCCAACACAAGGTTTCTAGGCATGGAAACTGGTATGATATGTTAGTTATTAATGTTAAACAAATAGCATTTAATAAAAAATATAGACTGGTATAAGTACTGATGTTTTGACGAAAGGTATACTCTACTAAGGTTTCTGTATAACAATATAGCATCAAAGTATATGATGTTAGAAATAAGGGTTCGAAATAAAAAAAGAAATTGACAAATTCACAAAAAAGTAGGAAATGTCTATATAGTTTCCTATAAATAAAGTAGACCAAAAAATGAATGAGAAAATCAAGGAAAGTTCACATAAGGAAATCTATTAACATAATTCAGGATAGCCACGAATTGAAGGTGAAACTGTATATGAGTTTCTCAATAGATTCAGAAAAATCATTTAATGCACTTAAACATCCTTTATTAAAAACTTTGCAAACTAGGAATAGAATAAAACTCTGCTTTGACAAGGGGTGTATTCCAGAAACCTAAGCATCATAACAAATGGTGAAACATTAGAAGCTTTCGCAATAAAATTAGGGACAAAAGAAGGATGCTCACTGTAACTTCTTTTTAAAAATGTACAAAATTTGTCAACCTAAACAACATGAAAAGAGAATGATGTTTTTTAAAGAATTGTAAAAAATCCCAGAGCGGTCATGGAACATCTGTCTCTAAAATGCCCAGATGCACTTTTGAGGGTTCCTTGCCTACAGAAGCAACTGCCTCACATATAAGTACATCTTGTACTTATCACATCACCCCAAGTGTAAGGATTGGAGCAAAGGAAAGCCACCATGGTTACTCATGTAAACAAAAAATAATCTGCCCTAGAAACCTTGTGTTGGCATTCAGGAGAGTATTAATAAATACAGATTTTAAAACTTCAAGACCCATAGCCTTTCTGTAACCATCAGTAAATAATGAGAAATGTAAATGACTATTCTAGTCAAATTAGATTTAAAAGTTCACATTCTGAGGCAGGTTCTTTCTTCACTCTAAACAAATAGCAATGATAGATTAAAATATAAGTAGGAGAACATTAAAAAGACAGTAATGAATTCCCGGAAGCAGAAGTGGGACAGAAACGCGAGGCAGTGAAGTGGGCGGGGACTGGAGGCTTACTGGGCACTTGGTCTTTTAAAGCAGGCAGATCAGCCGGTTTTCAGATACGTCTGAATCACGCAGCACACAAAAACGCAATATTGTCCATGGTTACACGCTCGACCTGACAGTTACGCTGTAACAATGATCATTTTGCCATCGCGTGTTATCAAAACCCATGCCATGAAGGACTTTTACTTCATATATTTCTGTGGATACTTACCGCTTAGATTAGTAGAAAACCAAGTTAAAAATATATGTATATGTACATAAAAATTTTAGGATTTGAACATTGTACTTACTTTGTCAGCATATCAAACATGCTTTTCTCTACATTTACCAGCCACTGTTCTACAGCACTTCTTACGCGAATTTTCCTATAATTTTTCAAAAATAATAGATGAAGAATTATTTTTATTAATGTTTCATTCCTTTGATCAACCTGTAGACTACATTTTCTACACCTAACATTCATGGACCAAAGAACTATAATTCTGTGATATCTTTTGGTTTTCCGAGATCTTAATGGAAAAAACTATGCAGAAAACATATCACCTAGCTTTAGGAAATTCCGACATCAAAACTATGAATTTACAAAATTAAGAGTTTCCATTAAATATGAATTTACAAAATAGATAAATTATATTACAAAACTTTTTTTTAAAATTATTATTATTTCTCATTGGATCTTTGAAATAGTAAGCCTAGGTGAGGATCGAGTTAAGAGAAGGAGTGGTACAGCATTTTTTAAATTCATTCACATCAGGAGCTACATTCCAAAAATGAGGAAGCCCATGCCAGGCTGGCGAACTAGACCAGTGTAATGGGAGGCCCTAGCTGGCAGCCATTCCTGACAAGACCGGTCAGTTGGAGCAACAGCGGAAGTAGCACCTATAACCCGAAGCGAATAGCAAATTTCCTTCCTATCAATGTTTAAATAATAAACCTCGTGTTGGCTTTCAGGATAATATTAATATAGATATAAAATTCTGCATGAGTACATTATCTTTGAAGAAATGGTTTACTTAGCAAATTTCCATGAAATATCAGAAATTTCCAAGCAGAGGTTTTACATAAAGTTTTACAAGGTCTAAATGCTTAGTTTGTAACATAAACATTGTACTTTGGCAGCACGAGAGTCTCCCCTTCCGCAGATATGAGCATTATTACGGTAGGAGGGCCGATTTCTTCTTTCCATATCAATAATTGTTTTATATTTTCAAAACATTTCACAAGATGAGGCTGTGGACCAGAAACAGATGTCAATAACTTTCTGTCAATAACAGTCTGACTTGGTTGGGAAATAATATTGCTGAGTGAAGAATATTACCTGTACAGACTCAGGATTTCTGCTCTCCGCTAGAATGTCAAGAAGTTCAGCATTGCTAAGAAAGTAAAATCTTGGAAAAATCGTTCTTTTAATTTCCAGGTAGTCCTGTCCAGAACCAAAAGAAGTGCAATTCAGAATACGTTGAATCGTGATATGAATCACATCCTACATTTACATGCAAAAGCCACAATATTAAAGTTGCAGTATACACAGCAGCATCAGTCAAAATAACAGCCCATGCTCAGCGAAAGCTACACTTAAATTGCTAAAAGGAACTTTTATTTTTTTTTTAGGCAAGGCGACCCTTGGTTGACCTCACAGATTGCAAGGACCTTGTCAGCTTACAAGCCCTTATTTTTTAAGCCTACAGCACCTGGTGTTCCTAGGTGGTCTCCCATCCAAGTACTAACCAGGCACAACCCTGCTTAGCTTCTGAGATCAGACGGGATTGGGCTTGTTCAGGGTGGCATGGCCGTAGACTAAAAGAGACTTTTAATAAAAGAAAAGCTAAAACAAATGAAAATCAAAACAAAAAATAAAGACAAAAGATCCCATCCGCGCACACACATGTATGCACAGACACACACGTTATTGTATTATTGATCATTAATAAAACACTGTATTTTGGCATAATTTACCTGCTCTCTCTGCTCCCAAATTTCTGTTCTTTTTATTTCCCTATCCTCTTCGACAATGAGTTGCCATTTCAGCAGGTCACCTCACATTCTACTGGACAGAGAATTCCTGTATTTCACCCCTCCCCACAACTTAGCTGCATTCATACCGGTTTTAACTCTTGTTCTTCTTTTCAGAAGAGATGCCTACCCACTTATGCCAGGTTAAGCTATTCTTGCTTTATTTATTATTTTCCTGTATCTTCAATCTCTCCTTCGCAATAGGCTTCCCTCTTGAATTTCATTAAAAATATAAGAAACCCTCTCTCTCCCTTTGTTCTTCTCTAGCTACTGTCTACTTACCCACCTTCTCTTTGCAAAGTTCTTGAAAACGGAGTCTATAAACTCAGAACCTTTACTTACTCATCTCTCAATTATCCTCACGCTCTGCCATTCATGTACGTGATACTTCCACAGCTGTTGACTTCTGGGATTTCATTCTGTTTTTCTTCATCTCTTAGCCTCTTATCGTTTGCCTTCGAGATCTCTCTTCACCCCCCACACTTTAATGGTGGCATCTCTCGAGTTCCATTCTCATCACTCTTCCTACCCATTTGCTTTTCTACTTGATACATACCCAACCTGCTCTTTCACTCAGACCACTTCCCTCTGCCCCCAATCTACAGATTCAACTGCCAATTGAAGATGTTCACTTGATCATCTCATAAGTACTAGAATTTATTCAATAGATATGAAACTTCTTCCCATGCGAGCCTCCTCCTCTTCTACTTCCTGTCTCTGGAGTGTGATCAGCTTTCACTTTGTTGGTCAAGCCAGAAATCTAGGCAGAATCCTGGCCCTTTTTCTTTTGTCCTCTGTTTACCTATTTGAAGCTCCTGGTGCCACCTTCTTTCATCCTCATCATGGTCTTATTTTCGTCCCCCGGTATTTCTAGTCTTTTAACTAGTTTCTTTGTATTTATTCTCACTGCCCCCAATATACTCTATGCTTCCTTCTGGGGAGATATTTCTAAATTAAATAATTTCACTCTCCTGTTTAAGATCCTTCAGTGGCTACACAATAAAGTCAAAATTCATCGTGATATTTAAGGCCTTTCCTTATCTGTCTCCTGCTTACCTGGAGAATCTCATCTCTCAACGCTTTCCTATGTGCAATCCATGTTCCATGGTATCGCCTCGTTTTCAACTCCAGAATGTGCCATACTTGCTGACAGTTCCACATCTGTACTTCCTTTGCCCAGGATGCTCTTCCCACCCACCCACCCACACCCGGACTCTTTTACCTG